AGCCACACTGGTATACTCTTTCCTTTATTCTCTTTGCACATTGAGGACATTGTGCCATTTAAGTTTGGGGGTAATGGTCTTAATTGCAATATTTGCTTTCAATTCAAATTTTAAGCATGACTTGTGTATTTGAGGGATTGTTTATGATTGGTCCATAACTAGCAATAACTTTGATCTTTTGAGGACTATATTACTTAAAATTTAAAAATTGCTTGACTTGAGAGTCCAATACTCCTTGTATACTTTGTGGATGCAATTTAGGAGTAAATTTTTCGAAAGATTGATATCTTGCTTGCATTTGTGGTCCAAATCATCCTGATTTTGTAATTGTTTTGAGATTCACTCTAGAATTCTACACTAGCACAGGCGCACATTAGCATTCATTTGTGGGGTACACGCTTTGTTGATTATTGAATTAGTTATATCCCAATTGGGCTAATAGTGCATTGAAAACTTTCATTTTGACAAAAGTGGATAACAAACCCTTTTCATTGAGTAGCCGGGATTCTAGCCTCATCAAGCACTGAACTTCTCGCGCCAAAAGGTGGAGGACCCAAACTCTAGGTTAATAATTGTATTAAAAAAAAAAAAAAAAAATTGAAAGTTGCAAAAGTAATAAAAAAAAAGTGAGAACTTCTCCCAAAAGGTGAGAAGTGGGAAATGATTAGATGGAGGTTGTTTTGATTTGTAACTTAGTTGATTTGAGCTTGTAAGTCCTTAGGAGTGTTTGAACGCCTAGTGCCCTAAAGCCGTCCGGTTTGGGAGTCATTGACCTAACGCTCGACCTCATGGATCGCTAGAAAGCTTAATAGATCACTACGTTGCACTATGCTTCCATCTTTGATCCTTAGGGATAAAAAATAATTTAAAAAAAAAAAAAAAAAATCGAGTGAAAAGAATAAGCGCACCTAGATCAATAAAGCTTTAATAAAAGGTCCACTCTTTGTCTTGATGATCGGTACTGGATTTGTGTGCTAGTTTAAGGGTAAGGATGTAATCATTTCTCTAGTTGGCTTAGATAGCAACACATTTGATGCCGGTTCACTCAAAAAGGATTCTAGTATTGTTTTGATTTGCATGATCATTTTCTTGATGTGTGGAGGACCACACTTTTTTGCTTGATGTTGAGATTTTGAGAGATTGCTTAGAAAGAGTTGAAAAATTGCATACTTGAGGTAGTTTTCTCCCAATGCTTGTTTGCAATATTGGTGCATCTTTTGTGATAATGAGCTTAATGTTTGTGGGTATCATTTCTGGAAACCCTCATGAGACTACACTCATCCACTAGGGGTAACCTAAGGGTTTAAAAGGCTTGTTGCATACGCTAAATGCAATCGTGTTCCCTACGAAAGTGGCGTTATCCATTTACTGCTTTCTAGATTCATAGTTGTATAGTTATTCATTTCATTCCTTTACTTTGTAGTTCATTGCTAGGGACTAGCAATATTTAAGTTTGGAGATGTGATGAGCGCTGAAAAGTGCGCATTTAAACCCCTTAAGCTTAGGTTTCTAGGACTTTTATCTATCTTACTTTCCCGTTTTAGACTAATTTCATGTTATTGTCCTTTTTAGGTGCTTATCCCCAAAATAAGCTAATTCAACCAAATAAGAGCTTAAAAGAAGCTAACTCAAGCTGGATGGAAGAAAGGAGCAAAGTGGAAGCAGAATGAAGCAAAGTGTGCAAATCAGTATATTTGATCGATCTCAAGAATACTCCGATCGATCAAAAGTTCATCGATCTAGACTCTCCAAAATGGATCCAAGCTCTTTTGTCCTTATCCAAAGATCCCACAAAGTTCGATCGATCCAACAATTCTCCGATCGATCGAAAAGATTTCATCTTATCCTGTTGTACCACCCTACTTACCACTTTTGTCTCTTTCCCCAAAATATCTCAGATCTGTCCTTATCCAAAAAGGCGCCGCCATGGGAGGATCGATCTAGCCAAAGTTTGATAGATCTCAACCAAGTTCGATCGATCTCAGCATAGGTTCGATCGATCGAACCCTCTCAAGTGGGAATTAAATTAATTTCCAGCTCATTAAAAGTTATCTCATTGTGCAATCATTGGAGGAGCCCTTGTATACGAGCCTAGACCATTGGGTGTAACATTTGAGCTACCTATATAAGGATTATGAGCAGCTTTTACATATATGCTTTTAGGAGTTGATAGATACAATTTTTGATTATTCTTAGAGAGGAAGAAAAGAGAAGAGGAGGCTAGAGACACATTCTTGGGAGGTCTTCCATCTACTTCAAGAAGAAGAGCATTTCTACCATGGATATAGCCCTTGAGGGTTGGAGGACACCATTCATGAGTGGCTAGACATCCTCTTGGGGCTAGAATTAGCCCTAAGCATGCTTTCTTTACCTTGATTTATGTATTTTTTAGGGGATTAGTGTTGTAATATATATTTTGACATCTTTATATACATAGATCTTGTTTATTCAATGATTTGTGTGATTTAATTCTTCCAATTGATCATTTCATTCTATCCATATGTCTATGTATGCTATATAATAGATGTTCATGTGTTTATCTCTATCTCTTGTGTTGTTGATGCATGTCTATGTGTGTTGATACTATAGATCTAGAGATTGTCAAGACATAGTGCTTAATAGAATGTTCTTGTGGTTTATTTGATGGTTCATACTCATTTCTTGATGGATTGTGCCTCCCCCTTAATTTAATTAGTTTAATTTTCATGTCATTAGCTTAGATGTAGCGTAGTTACCTTAGTTAAATGGGAGGATAATCCATGCTTGTTGTTTGATGTTCCATACTTATGAATGCAAGTAATATATTTCTATAATTATGTGATGTGTTTTGGATTGTGAGCTTAAATGAAGGATTAATGACTTAGTTTGTTATATTGTGCTATTCATTATGTTGTTTAGACAATATACACTTAATTGATCATCCATACTTGTTGAAACAACCACACACACTCACTATTGTTGCAACATATGTTTTCCCCTCATTAATTATGAATTGAGTGTATAGAAAAGTGATGCTTAGTGGTAATCTCTAAGTCCCAAGACCTCTCTCTCTTGTTTTCTCTATCCTTTAATTACTTGTTTTATATTGAACTTGCTTAATCTTTATTGTAGTTTAATCAACCAAACAAACTACCTTTGATCACTCGACCTACTAACCCTAAGCATTGTTTCCATTACTAGTAGCCCTCCAATCCCTTGGGACGATCCATACTCACTCTTGCTAAGTTAGCAGTAGTGGTGGTAGTGGTTTTTATAAATTTAAACTTCACCCAAAAGGCTTTTCTTGAACCGTACATTCACTACATTATTTTGGCATATAGGAACGGCCTAGACACCGTCATACCACTCCACTTTTTACATGTAATTTATTGTTTCCTCTTCCCTATGTTTTTATTTCTCATCTCAGTTTTTCATCTCTATTTATATAGGTTTTTTTTATTATTATTTTTTTATTTTTTATCAACTTTTGAATTATATTTTCCTCAATATATATACTAAGACTAATATTATAAACAAATTTTATATTATAATTGTTTTGTAATTTTTTCAAATTTTAATTACATAGTTTTAGTTCTCCTACCCAAATCAAAATTTTTAACTCTACCCTTAAGCACCAATACATAATCCAGGCATGCAACAGTCCAACTTTGTCTAGAGTGGAAAACACGAGTTTCCAAGTCAAATTCATCTCTAAAAATTCTGAAATACGTCTAAAAATCTTAAAATTGATTTCTAATCATTCTAGGATTTTGAGAATAGTTTCTAAACATTATAAGAAGGTCTCTAGAGATTCCATAACAAATGTACAACACACAAAGTTGTGATTTCACATTTTCACATGCTTCGACACTCAAATTGTGAAATCTTGAGAGAATTGTGAGAGATATATTAATTTTATATACATAGTTTGGCAGATTTACTATGAGATCATTAACTAGTGTGTGATATTTGCTCTTGGAATATCGATTAAAAATTTAAAAATCACAAGTAACCACTAGAGACATCATCACTTCTTCACCAATCTTTCGTGGAGAATTGGCTTGCAGTTATGGTGAAGGAAGGCATACCAAGTGATTGATCACATTGACGGATAGTAACGACTGAGCTCGGAAAATTAGGCATAAGACTAAGGAGTGCTGCAACTGGTTTAGTTGGACATGACTAGGAACTAGGCATGATTCTAAGAAATCAGCAGCTACTAAGTCTGGTGGAGCAGTCAGGAGTAAGTCTCTGTCAAAATACTGAGTTTGCACTTCTTCCTTATTCTTAGTGGATTGGCTAACCTTAGATAGAAGTCTCCATAGTTTTTCACTGTCTAAATAAAAGTTCAGTGGCTATTTCTCTTTCGCTTTTACATGTTATGCATAATATCATTCGTTGCATGGTTATAAAGCTTGATAATATTTGAAATCAATCAAAAAGCAAAGTAGACCTATTTAACTTTCAATAGATCAACACATCACCAAACCGTCCAACCATTAATGCTCCTGTAAGCACAACTCTCACTTGATATCATAACAAATTAGAAGGGAAATTGTTTTCTCTCAGCCTTAATATCCTCAAACATCACTAATTAGAAGGACAACATGACTGCATTGTTTAGTACCCTTTAAGTTGGACATTTTTATGCTAAGCTTGTTAAGAAATGATTCAACCACCATTGTCTCAACAAAAAATGGGCCACTGTCCACAAGAAACCAATTAAAGAGTAGTTTGGCAGCTTAAGTGCAGGAAAAAAGATTATTCACAATAAGCACAACTCGAATCACAGCAAGTACCAAAAGATGAGTTCAAATAGAAAAATTTATCAAATGGAAAAAATTAAGTTTACTATGTACAGAAGTACAATTGACACTAAAGTACAATAGGAACTGGAAGCATCAAGCAAGTTCCAATGGCCAAAAACAGTCCAGTAGTATATAATGAGGTGATTTGAAATTAAGAATTTCTTCACATAAACCCTAGCAATGAAGAACTTTATAGACATTATACTTACCAACCTTTAATTATCCATGCCAATATGGAAGTCCTTTGCCGCTTCAAACCGATCACTTCAATGAAATAGCTTCCGTCAATTGCCAAAGTACTAATGCGTTCTTCCGATACTCCCTCAATTTTCACTCTGAAACATGCAGAATACCGTAGCAAGCTTAAAAATCTCACGATCATACAAAAACACATGTAGTCATTAAAAGGAGAAAAACACAACCGCCATATATAAAATCAAAACGGAAAACACATAAAGAATGTGATAGGTACAAAGTATTCCACTGTGTACCTAACACATCACCGCCTCCAATTTCAATCCCATTTATAACTCAAACCAGTGCCACAATAACTTACATCTCTCCACATTAGTGAGGAACGTAGATACAAATCTTGAAACTTCCTCAATTAAAACATAAATGTCTACATCAGTAAAGAATTCAAATTGGTTTCTGCATTAACTCCACATTTCTTGCTAATAGTTGCTAAATTTGAAGCAGCTTAAAATGGTGAGTAAATTTTGAATAAATTTCAAACTTCATTAGACCATGGCCACAGTTTCTTATCATTATATTCACGAAAAATGGTTCTAAGAACCCCAAGGGGGTAAACAGTTGGCCAAAGTCTCATCTTGGGAAAGAACAGGTTTTGGGTTCAATTTCACCCTCTGCAGCCAGCAGCCTCACTTCAGATTTTCCCAGGACTAAAATTGGCAAGATGCGTACACAGATGGGATTACTCCCATTCTAAGGTTGGGGACACCCCACTTATATTTTGGTTAGATGGTTCCAAGAAAAACCCCAAGTTGATAAACCTCAGAAATTTTCATACAATTTCAGACTACATATACCAAACAGTTCAACCACACTAAAATCCACATGCACAATCTATCAGTATATTTCTTGAACTTTAAATTGAGAAACGAAAGTACTCTATATTCAGAAGAGTACATTTCTTGAGTCGTAAATTGAGAAACGAAAGTAAACTAAATTTCAGAAAAGTACATTTCTTTGAATTGTAAACTGAGAAACGAAAGTGAACTAAATTCAGAATACCCAATCTTGAAATGAGAAGACATACGCCTGAACACTCAATAGAACAGCAATTCAGCATATAAACAATGTAGATTGACAGATCACAATTGGTGTATAGTGATTGACAGTAACAAAGAAATGCAATTGGCAGTATATATATATATATATATACAGTTATAGTTTAAAGTGAATGGAAAGCTTAAATTCACCTGGGAGGATTATGAAGGGTTTTGAAGATAGAGACAGAAGCAGAAATGTAGAGAGAGAGAGAGAGAAGCAAATATGAAAAGCAAAAATGAAAGAGAGAGGACCTTTTTTGGTTGTGGATCTATCAATCAGTCAACAAAGTCAATCTCGGTGAATATCCATCTGTTCATCATTTTCGCAAACAATTCGATCTTCGAACATCGGATCCGAATTCGGATATCTAGTTTCTCTCTCTAGTTTCTCTCTCATCAATTTTTTAAGGGATATGTATAAAAGCTTGCTCGCTGCGGTGCAGACAGTGGTTGAAAAGATAAATTGGTGTGGGCTACTACTACCGTGCGCGGGGAGGTGAGGGAATCAGGGCCTTTGGTACGTCGTCGTTTCGATCCGGTGGTGTAGTCGATGTCACGCATGCGACCAAGAGTCAATCACGGGATCGTTTGGTCCCCACTGGCTCGATCCAATGTCGAGCCTAACATACCTAACCAAAGTAAAATTTTCTGAGAATGGTTCGATTGATATTTGAACCCTCTCAACTTAAAAATGTGAGTGTGATCAAAGTATTGGCATAATTAATTATTTTTTTTAAAGTCTTGTATCAATTTTACAATATATGCACAATTCAAATCAGAGGTGCGGTTTGAGAGCGAGACTATTACAGACTTATTTTCAAATCTCTACCAACGTCGCTATGTCCCTGAAAACTATTCGCATGATTAATTATTCTGCAATTAGTATTATGTGTGTGTGTTCAATTAGTATTGTGTGTGTATGTTCACATAGTATATGATATAAATTATAATCAATACGTATTATTCCGTATATAGCTAATAATCCGATTTTGAAGAATGGTGATAATTTAAGTCCCATCAAAATAAATTGGTGGTGAATTTTTTGTAAATAAAACCAAAAAATATATCTAAATTTTGAAAAGAATACGAATAGAATAACCCTGACCAATAAAATTACACCTTTTCCCTATATTTTATAGAAAATGTTATACAAACGTTTTTATGGAAGGATAAAAATGTAAAATCACAATTTTCTTTTCACACTTTCCCATTAAAATGTCCAACAAGGTAGGCCCGTGTAATTTTTGAATCAATAGAAGCAGATGATGTAATTAGGCTATACCACAAGCTATGAAGCACGGACACTCTTCCTAGGAGCCCCATACCAATGTCGGATATTTTTCGGACACCGATACCCGTGTTCGAAGCTCGGACACGTGTCCGACACTTCTGTAAAGTGTCCAAATATTATTTTTTATTAGACACACGTGTCCGAGTCTTGGACACATGGTCCGACACTTTTGTGAGACAAAATTTATTTTCTCTTACTCCTCTCTCAGTCTCTCCTCTTCTTCAATTATCTCTCTTCATGAACAAGATATATATATATATATATATATATATATATATATATATAAGTTACATGAACAAAACTTTGTGAAAGACTAAAAGTATATATGTTTATTCATATACATATTTAGTTCATTATACCTATGTCTCTTCTGCACATCTTCATTTGGAATTTGGATCAACTTTATTTTTCATTTATTTTCTGTTTTGTCTTGTCTATATTTTTCTTATAATAAAGATAAAATTATTGAAATTGATTCTGTTCTTTGTTGTTGTTTTATTTATCTGTACAAGATTCTAGTAATTATATTTTGAATATATAATTATATATATATATAATTTTATAGGCGTATCCCCGCCGTGTCCGTGTCCTATTTTTTTGAAATTTGTCGTGTCGCCGTATCCGTGTCGTGTCGTACCCGTATCCCGTATCCGTGTCCATACTTCATAGACCACAAGAGATGGATGTGATTTATTTATTAAAAAAATGACCAAATCCTTCAAAATTGTGTTTACCACTTCAGAATTATTAAAAAAAAAAAAAAAAAAACATTTGTATTTCACTTTTGAAGAATAATTATGTTATATATATATATATATATATATAAAACTGATTATTTGTTGGTGAGTAAAAAATTTATTCACATCAATCATGGTGACATTAGATATGATTGTCATATTTTTTACTATTTGTTGGTGAGTAAAAAATTTATTCACATCAATCATGGTGACATTAGATATGATTGTCATATTTTTTTTTTTTTTTTGGTAATTTTCTTCTTGTTCTTCTTTTTTTACTTAAATTATATTTAACTGTCACCATGTTTGATGCGCAGAAAATTCTTGCTCACCAAGTGTAAGATAATAAAGTAGAGTGGGAATAAACATTTCAACAAAGGTAATATCTTTTTTATACCTAAATCATATCTAACTATAGTAAGACTAAACATTTCAACAAAGGTAATATCTTTTTTTATACCTAAATCATATCTAACTTTAGCCATGATTGATATGCAAAAAATTCTTGCCCACCTGCTAGTGCAAGATGAGTGAGAATAAACATTCCAATAAAATATACATTATACATATAAATAAATGATTTCTTTTTACCTTGAGGGCAAAATTTTCAATTTCACGACACGCGCATGTAGGAAATTATTTATTTAATAAAAAAATAAACATCTAAATTCCATAAATAATATATTATCTAAGATCTTGTCTCTTTGACTCTAGGGATACAATGTGAAAAGTGATATACCAGACCTTAAGTTTCCACACAAGGACAAGGTTAATTTAAAAGGATAAAATTTGGGACAAAGTTTGAGGTAACTCCTAAAGTTAATATGCTTAAATTATGTTAATTGAATTGGAAAAGTTTAAGCCACTCCTAAAGTTAATTGAATTTTTTTTTTTTGCCTTTTTTTAATTGAATTGGAAAGCCTTCAATTATGATTATTCTCTTGCAAAAATAATGTTGAGTCTTGTGCATGCTTTTTGTCTTTTATCCCTAGATTAGAAGTGACTGTTTCTAGTTCGGAAGTCAATTAATTATTGGATTATGAGTTAATTAGTGAAATTCTAGTGAGATTGAAGGAAAAATATTATTACATTCCTAGAATAAGCTTGGTCACTTATTTTCACTTCTAATGCAAATATAGGAATGGTACTAATAGGAATGGTTTTACCATGGGTGCAGAGGCAAGAAACCCCCACTAATCAGGATTCACCATTTGTCGAGGTCAGGAGCCACGATTTGGGTTGGGTTGGGTCAAATACGGCCCAAAAAAGATCCTTACAATTCAGAAAGCATACATGGGCCAATCAAACGAAGCACAAGTCCAATTAACGTCTTAAGGGTAGTCAGTTTTGGGCCCAATAGGGGCAAGACTTGGGCCTTAAGCCATCCATTCTAGGGCAGAAATAGAAAGTGTATAAATAGGGAAAGAGAGGAAAAAGAAGGGGAGTGATTCGTATGAGAAAAACTTTCTATAATAGAAAGAGAAAAATTTTTGTACTCACACTTGGCGTCGTCTGTGGGAACGAAGAAACTAGATCTGTTAACTTCTACAGTGAATCATGACTCAGCTCCGATCATGAACGAGTTCAATAAGACAAGCTCATTCAGCTTGTCAAAATCCTCCGCCATGAGAATGCAGAGCTCAGATATAGAATGGAACAGAGGGAAATGTTGTAACTTCCACGTTCGCCAGTGGAGGTCTTGGGGGCAAATGAAGATGCGTACCGACGGCCAGGTCAAGCGGGGTCTGTGCATGTAGATCCACGGCATAGAGAGCTTGGACCGAAATAAAGGACTCAGGAGGAAAAGCATGTGGAAACTTACCTCCTACCAGTAAGGGGCTCTACTGTGGACCAGATGTTCGACGAAGTGTCTAAGTTAAGTTTGAAGACTCATACTCGGAGATAAGCGGAAGAGCTAGAAAGGGGACTGAAAGCCCCAACGCTGACCAACAGAGTCGCTATGACATCTGCTCAGACTGTTGAATCTCCTTTTTATCAAAGAGATACTCTGATCCCTAAAGCCAAATAAATTCTTCATGCCGACATTCACCCCATTTGATAGAACCAAAGACCCCACAGAGCATGTGTATCACGTTCAGCTAAAAATGGCCCTAGACACTGAAGATGATACCATAATGTGCAAGTTGTTCCCAACGAGCCTCACCAGACTAGCACTCAGCTAGTTCAAACATTTGCCCAAGGGATCGGGTGACAGCTTTCGTAAACTCTGTAATCTGTTCATGCCCAGTACGCAGCCAGCGAATCAAAAAGATATTTCAAGCTTGTTCACCATAAGCTAGGTAGCAAAAGGGTGAACGACTCTAAGCTTTCCTTACTAGATTTAACCCGGAAATGAGCATGGTGGATGACTATGATCAAACCACAACAGTTGAAACATTTAAGCTATCGATAATCAGTCGAACTAGGTTTCATACATCATTGGTAAAGAAAACTCCACCAGCCATAGGGACATTGAACTCAAGAGGACAAGGATATATATAACTAAAGGAAAAAGAAGTCGTTCGCCTGCAGAAGATAACAATGGTCACCATGGAAAAAATGACCTAAGATAGGATGAATTCCTAGAAGACACCAGCCCCTCAAGCCCAAGCAGCTCTATGGAAAGCTAAAAAAAAGACAGCGGGAAGATGAGGTAATCACCCATTTCATGACAACCTTGGCGAGGTTGTACCAGGAGAACAAGGGAAATTTTTGACGGCCCTAACCGATCAAACAGCTGATTAAGCAAATGGATCATTCCAAGCATTGTGCATTCCATAGTGACTTCGAGCATCAAACGAATGAGTCCAGGAACTTGAGGAAGCAAGTTAAAGTGTTTATCGCAAAAAGGCGAGCTGATAAGCTATTTAGAGGCCAAGAAATAGGCACACCCCAAATGAACATGTCAAGGGGAACCCTAGGGCACACCCTCATGAAAGTCAGCCCATTCAGATCATCAACGCAATTCACGGGAGACCAGAGGACGATGACGAGTTAGAGGAGCTCCATCGCTCCCGCCTTAGGCAAGCCCACAAGTTAAGGAAGCTTAAAAGTGTTAACACGATCCACCATGAGAGCAATACGACGTTGATTAGGTTTGAGAAAACTGGTTTACTCAGGGTGCAAACCCTGCATGGTAATCCACTGGTGATAAGCCTTATAGAGGTGAATTGTCTCGTAAAAAGGGTCTTAATCGATATAGGGAGCAACGCGAACATCATAACTAAGCTGGCGTTTGAGCAATTGATGGTTGACTTGAATAAGATAAGGCCAATCGGGAATCCACCAGTGGGGTTCGATGGCAAATGAGCGGAACCCATCGGGGTAATGAGCTCCCAGTTTGTACAGAGCGGAGGAACTTAAGAGAGATCTTTATCATTGTTGATCATGTTCATCCTTCCTATAACCTGTTAATGAGAAAGGT